CCTCACAAGAGATTAGTGCAGAAGCTAGAGCATCAGGCGCATATAACAGGAAGGGCACTGCAATGGATCAGAGAATACCTGACAGGGAGGCAACAAAGGGTCATGGTACATAATGATGTATCACAGTGGGCACCTGTGACGAGCGGGGGTCCCACAGGGGTCGGTCCTAGGACCAGTGCTATTTTTGGTATATGTGAACGACATGATGGAAGGGTTAGACTCAGAAGTGTCCCTGTTTGCAGATGATGTGAAGTTAATGAGGAGAATTAAATCTGATGAGGACCAGGCAGGACTTCAAAGAGACCTGGACAGACTGGACACCTGGTCCAGCAAATGGCTTCTCGAATTTTATCCTGCCAAATGCAAAGTCATGAAGATAGGGGAAGGGCACAGAAGACCACAGACAGAGTATAGGCTAGGTGGCCAAAGACTGCAAACCTCACTCAAGGAGAAAGATCTTGGGGTGAGTATAACACCGAGCATGTCTCCGGAAGTACACATCAATCAGATAACTTCTGCAGCATATGGGCGCCTGGCAAACCTGAGAACAGCATTCCGATACCTTAGTAAGGAATCGTTCAAGACACTGTACACCGTTTATGTCAGGCCCATACTGGAGTATGCAGCACCTGTTTGGAACCTGCACTTGATAAAGCACATCAAGAAACTAGAGAAAGTACAAAGGTTTGCGACAAGGTTAGTTCCAGAGCTAAGGGGAATGTCCTATGAAGAAAGATTAAGGGAAATCGGCCTGACGACACTGGAGGACAGGAGGGTCAGGGGAGACATGATAACGACATATAAAATACTGCGTGGAATAGACAAGGTGGACAAAGACAGGATATTCCAGGGAGCGGACACAGAAACAAGAGGCCACAATTGGAAGTTGAAGACACAAATGAGTCAGAGATATTAGGAAGTATTTCTTCAGTCAGAGTTGTAAGGCAGTGGAATAGCCTAGAAAATGACGTAGTGGAGGCAGGAACCATACACAGTTTTAAGACGAGGTTTGATAAAGCTCATGGAGCAGGGAGAGAGAGGGCCCAGTAGCAACCAGTGAAGAGGCGGGGCCAGGAGCTAAGACTCGACCCCTGCAACCAGAAATAGGTGAGTACACACACACACACACTAGAAATGGAGAAAATAGTTGGTAAAGATTTTCAGCATTGCTAAGGATAGATAATCAAAGCAAAATAAATAAAGCAGTAAAAACAATGCAGTATGTTAGGTAATTTCATAGCCCCAGCGTAGACCAGAGAAGCCTCACTACTATACTACAGGGAAGCTCTTCATTACAACATAACCGACCTTCCTAAACCTGCCAAACTCCGGCAAGGAGACACAGCGAACGTTGGCTTGCTTACTGGCGCTGGTTCCATATACAGTAGTAACAGGGGCGTGCCAGTTGTACGCGAGGCGCTGGTGGTTTGCCAGTTGGTGCCAATGGTGTGTCTATGGGTGTTGGTGGCGTACCTACTGAGATTGGTGCTGTGTATTCTGGAAGAAAGGGACGGAGATGCACCCAACACAGTGGGAGTGGGGGCTGAGGTGCACACACATGGCCATGACGAGGTGGTAGTGATATTAACGTTGGTAGATACTGACAATGAACAAGGTATGGCGATGGTGCAGGCTGGTTTAAGTCTGGGAGTGCTGCTGCTGGTAGAATGAGCATTAGACGAGGTACATGAGGTAGAGGTGAGATGGATGCTGCTGTTGCTGGAGGACGAAGTAGGGGCAGTACGAGTTGTGGAGCTGCTGGACGTAGTAACAGAATATGTGGGGTTACTGGATGTAGAAGTAAGGGGTGCAGAGTTACCGGACGTAGAAGTACGGGGTGTTGAGGTGCTGCACGTAGAAACACGGGTTGTATGATTACTGGTTGTATTAGTACGGTGTGTAAGTGTGGAGTTACTGGTCGTAGAAGTACGGGGCGTGGAAGCGAGAGGAGCAGAAGCAAGGGGCGTGTAGGTGCCTGTGATATTAGGCGAGCCGAAGTCTAGGTGGGACCATCGTCTAGAGCGCAAGTATTCCAGCATGATGGCACAGGCATGTGGAGACCACTTCTTACTCAACACTTTAATAACTTAATGCAATACTTGGTGCAGGAAGGTACTACTCGTCCCTCTGCATGACAGGTATCAATACCGCTAGCTCTTCATTAAAACTCTCGCTCTTATGGGAAATAGACTACCACAGCACTTCTGGAGGATGATCACACATGAATGCAATATTTTGCTACGAGTGACTTCCTAATATAATGCCGTTTGGGGTTCCTTCAACAGTACATTTTCAAGAGTACTTCATACTACTGTATTCAACATAAATGGCACATTAGCCATTATGTTAAAAGATACATAAATCAAATACAATTACGTAGCTATACAAGTATTTATATAAGTATTTACATTAGCAAGTAATGTTAATATGCTTCAAGTTAGTGCGAGTGTTACAAGAGTGGAGTGAGCACTACCTCAACCCGAGGACTCCATTTCACCACAAGATCACATGTCACGGAACCACCCAGGTACAAATGCTACACCTGTTGCTAGCCTAACCTCCACACTTAAGTTATCTTAAGCTCCAATTAGGTGTCCATCAGTTGTTACGACAACAGCACGATCATTATGTAAATGCTAGTTCCCGCTCACAAGTATATCAACTTGTCACTGATCGAGACACTCCAACAACCACTTCACAGGTTATGATAAACGAAAGCGAGCACTAATTCCTTCGTTAGTGTTAAATTTATCGTTGATGAAAATTCCTTCACAGGTATATCGATACTGAGGGTCCTCGCAGAGCAGCAGCAGAGGTAGGTGGGGACAAGGGAAGTTTCGGGTAGGACGCCATATTCAGTTTGAGAGGTACTTAACGACCGCAAGTGTAGTGCCTGCACCAACACAGTTCCAACAGCGCCACTTGACACCGCAGTCGTCGAGGTTCACGCATTTTGCGAGAGGCTATTGCAGGGAACCATGTTAAGATAAAGATGTACGTATGAATGTGTGAGTGTGTTTTGGCGTGTAGCCGGGTTGGTGGGGCAGATCAAGACTGTCACTCCTGAATAACAATCACCATGGCTCGCCACCTCGCCATGCCAACGGGTCTGACAGGAAGTTTTGCTGATACCTGATCCTCTCCTACCACACAGCTCCTCCTGCAGTACCCATCTTCTACAATACCTTTATGAATCAACAAGTAAAGGACATAGGAATCTAAAGAACACAAAGCAAGTGCAGCAGAGGCCAGAAAAAAATGAGTGGACCATAATGAGAACTTTCAAAACAACGCCAGTTTATTTGTTTTATTTGAGGGGAAGAGCTAAATCCGTAGGGGTCATTTAACGTGCTCTGATGTCTTTCCTACTTTGAAGAGAGCTATGAGTACGTGTGTGTTCAAAGCAGTTTACTGTCCGTATAGCCAATAAAGCCTCAATTATTATAATCATAACTAAGCGCTAAACTCAAAAGGGGTCATACAGGGGAATGACTCAAAGTACTTGGAATATACTCTTTGGAATGGAGAAGAGATACCTAATAATGTACACCTTGAAGATATTTGAGGTCTAAGTCCCAAATCTGCACACCTTAACTTACCGGAGTGAGATATATGGGAGGATGTGTAAATTCATTAAAAACCTGGGGGCGCTATCGGCACAATAAGAGAACAAAGTCAACACACTTGGTGGAAACTTCAACTTGCTTCCAGTAGATATCACAAATGTCGGATGACAGATAGACGTCTTCAAGCGCCAGCTCAACCTGTGTGTGATGACAGTCAGCGAGCAGCTGACAGCAACAGCATGACTAAATATGCACTCCACAAAGCTTAGCCAAACACCGAGCTAGTAATGTAGAGGAGCCCTCGAAATCCGTCAGTGGGAACATTATATAGCTTTATGTACCTAACCTGACAGCCTATATACCTAATCCATCTGACAGCCACACACACTAGTTAAGCTGCATACACTCACCTCACACAAACTTCCTCACAATCACAAAACTCGTAAAACTCAAACTGGTATAAACACGCACGCAAGCATATGTAGAAAGAAGGCAAGTTGTGTACCCACACCTCATAAACTTCTGTTAGGTAACATACTGGTGGTCTTACACATTAAGTCACCAGCTTGTGTGTAATAACTGGCGTAACTTGTACTTCCGGTATGAGTGCGTGCACCTCACATGATGATAGCTGACCAATGTTTACATAAACAGTTTTAACAGGCAATGACTATCTTAGTGTTAATGTAGCATTGATTTTATTATTCGTACAACACTAACATGAAGTAAAAGTTGTCAAAAATTCTTTTGTGTTATATTTGATCCTTTGCACACCACATAATAGCAATACTCACTAAACATCAACTTATCTCTGAATGAATCTTGGGACTACAAGAAGAAAAACTAAGGTGGGAGGGGCGGAAAAGAAGAGACTCCAGAGGGGCCAACTACAGCTCACTAAGATGGGCAAGTATTACCAGCTAAAATCTGGTGTTAGGTCATTTGTCAGGAAAAAAATCAACAGCACTATGGCCTGAAAGCGGCATAAGTGGTGTCTAAAGGCACACGTGAAGTTAAGGTTGGCCAACAGATATGTGGTAGGTTTCTGTAGCAGTAATGAACTGGCCCTTCCATCATCTTGTTACTTTCTTCACTCGCCTTCCTACCAAAAGCACATTAATATCACCAAGACATCAACAAAAGCCTCGGCACAAAATGAACGACAGAAGGATCAGAATAATGGACATGAAGGTACATGACATCAATAACAGAAGTGCCAACTTTGAGGACACTAGTAAACCACATACACATCATAACTATAGCAGATAAAAAGCAATATTCACAGAGGGGTACCTGATAGTGGGAAGATAAAAAAAAAAAAACAGGAGATATGGAGCTAATATAAAATCATGAATTATGAAACTTTAGCTCGTGCAAGTGATAGCAGCAGCAACGGCGGCGGCTGGGTAACACAAGAAAAGGTAGGTGACTTACCTTGATAGGAGCTCGCCTTCTCCAGGCACGCGGTCGTCGCATGCCCATTCGCTGCTCCTCAGCTTGTAGCCTGGCAATGGCTGCCCGTAGCCTGGCCTGAAGGTCCTCATCTTCACTGTCCTCCTCTTCCTCCTCGGAGGATGAGCCGAAGTAGTCAGAGTCGTGGGCGTTGTCTATGGTGAGTTTTGTTGGTGTGGGCGAGGCAGAGGTGGCGGAGGAGTCAGAGGAGCTGATGCTGTAGTCGCTGGTGTGGCTCACCTTCCTCAGTAGTAAGAGTTCTGGCTCACACACTCCTTGAGAAGCCTCGTGAGTGGAGTTTTCAAGAGTACGGGAGGGGCACAGCGGGCTCCCACACCACCCCACACTCACCACAGTGCTGTAGCGCCTTTCTTCTGTACCTATCTTGAAATTATCACTGTCGTCATCATCCCCGCCTCTCACTGTGATCACTGTCTTGTGTCCTGCACTTACCTCCCCGCCCAGCATGCACCTACACTTACTATCTTGCCCATTCCTCGAGCCATAACTTCCTCCCTCATCACCACTCATGTTCGTTTCACATTTTATCTGACTTATGTGCTGTGTGTTGGCCGCGGGCTGCGTCGTAACTGGAGCTGTATGGGCAGGTGGAGGCATGGCAGCGGCGGTATGGGCGGGTATGGGTGTGGTAGAGGTTGCATGGGCGTGACTTTGGGTGGAGTGACTGCTGGTAGTAACAGTAGGTGACTGCGGGTGTTCGTGGATGATGGGACCAGACATGTTACTTAGAGAGATACACACGTTGTAGAAGACAGGCCGTCCACACGACCACGCCTCCGGCCCTACACCTGACATGATGCTACACTCCTCAGAAGTCACTCCGTCTCTCTTCAACACACGCAACACCGCCTTCAACACTCGCAATACCGTCTTCAAGACAAGACACTTGCCAACGTCTATCTGGTGACTAGTTTTGACTTTTATAATGCCACAAGGAAGTCTCGCATGTATTAGCCACCACTCTCACTAAACATCATGTGATTCATTTGACATTATAGTCACTGGTCTTGTTAGCTAACCTGGTATTACTGAGACCAATGATTCACGTGTGGCATGTTCAACATCGCACCCTGATACACAAAACAAACATTATATAGTTTACAAGTCTGTACGAAAATGTTTACCATAACATTCAAGGCTGTTTACAACAGCACAACTAATCTGAATTAGTAAATAAAGTTTTGGAGTTCACTAACTTTACTTTTACTGAAATATAAATTCTCTTCAGGTCAATAAATTGTTATAATAACCTGCAAAGCGGCACAGGGAACATTCAGTACAAGGTGAACACCACCACCCTCACCATGTCTGCCCTCACCATGTTCACCATCCCTCGCATATTTCAACGTTCTTACTCTTACATGCTGCTTATAATGTCTTCACTCTTATTGTTATGATTCTTTATCAGGAAGCCTCTCTATACCCATATACACCGCTGCTGGAACAACTAGGCGAGTACATGTACACACACACACATACACGTAGTCACGTATGCCACACACAGGAAACATACAAACACGTGGTGAAAAATACGCTTCCGAGTGAACACGTGTGTCTGACAGTCGAATGAAACACTGGGGTGCAGCGGTGGCAGCAGCACCGTGAAGATGCGGATCCAACAGTCTAATTGGTCACGGATCGGGCAGTGATTCGAGGACGGAGAGAAATGAACTTCGAACACTCCTTGCACTGAATGACCCACGTGGGTTCAGTGCTTTACATTAACAATAATAAAAGATGACGGAGTGAAGCCGTGTGCAGTGGCGTGTGAGAGCAGCTATGCTTCACACACACACACACACACACACACACACACAACCTTGTGCAGTAAACATGACTCAAACAATATCAACGAGGAAGACACGTGCAGGAAGTGGGAAGTGATCTCCACTTGGCTACTCTAAGAACACAATAAAAATAATTAATGTCACTGTAATAAATAAAAACTGATACAATTTCAGATGTGATCACAAATTTAGCATCAACACTCCATTACGTCACTTTGTAAGTGCATACCAGACACTTGATACCCCTTGCTGTTTGATACCCAGCACTTGTACGCCAGTGGTTTCTTTCTTACTAATACTGTGGATACGCCGAGGGGTATTTAATTATTACCCAATACTGGTACGCCAGTGGTTGTTGAATCACTAATATTTAACAACGGAATCCCAGCAGTTGCTTAGTCACTGAAGGAACTTTCCACAGACGAAAACCTACGTCAGGTAAGATAACTTGACGACCACACCAGCAGTAGCAGAGGCCAGACACTGTAGTACCGTGTAGGGGTGGCAGCTAGAGTACACACCAGCAACAGCAGCAGAGGCTAGACACTGGAGTGGTACCGTGTAGGGGTGGCAGCTAGAGTACACACCAGACAGAGGAAATAACCTTGTTGGTAACAAGTTGAATGACTCACACCAACACCCTAGAGTTTCTATCACCTTCCCCTTTATTGTCTCAAGGTGTTCACTAAAGGTCTTTCCCCTCAAGGAAGTGCCTTGATGCTGGTAGGGGCTAAGTGATCTTAGGAACTGCACCTATCCTCCCATTCCTTGGATAGAATCTGATTATCTCCCAATATCCAAGCGCAGCATAACCAATCTTACTGAGGGTTCAACACTCCCCTTCAGTGTAATAATACCGTAAAGGTCTAAAGTCTCGTCCCTACAACCTATGTCGTGCAGTGCTGGATAATTCATATACTCCTTCCTCGGGCCTTCAACAAATATAACAATTGTTCTGGTCCTGGTTCTTACCCAGCAAGTGTCTCAAGGTGTTCACTACAGGTGTCTCTCCTCAACTTGTACTTACTACCCGTCTCTCCTTTCTTATTATATTTATATCTCACCATTTACTTCCGCTTTCTTTCACTATTGAACGACCCACATGAGTTCAGCTCTTCATGGCTATTCTACTAAATAATAATAATAAATAATAAAATACATAATAGAATAAATTATTATTACAAGATTAAAACGAGTAAGGTGAGGGAGTCATAATAGCAATAATATAAACAATAACTACCTTTTCAGTTTCCTCTTCCCACTGTAGAAGACGTGATTGTAATAAGAGGCATCAAGACTGATGCAAGAGTACAGCTGGGAGTTACATTATCAAACGCACCACAACGCTACTCTCCATCTTCTCTCCAGCACACAACAAAATACTACAAATGCCACAGTTATTTAAAATGAAAATCCAACTTCAGTGTCTCTTTACAACGTCTTGATGTCCAGTGTAAAAGAGGAACAACACTACACCTCATAATGGAAGTATGATCTCACCAACAACAAAGTTGTAGTGTAACTTAACCCTTCCCAGGATTACAACTAGATTTTTGTTTACTTTAAAGTATACCTTCCATTTCTTGGAAGAAACTACAGGCGTGAGCTGTTATGTACGCTGGTGTTTAACAACAGATGACAATATGGTAGCTACTGGCCCCATGACGAAGGTGCAGCAAAGAATCACCAGACAGTCGTATGAGGGATCGTAAGTCCACTCGTCGTGCCAGCCGAGAACCTGCGATCCCTCATACGACTGTCTGGCGTGTGTTAAGGCGTAGTTTAATCGTGAGGCTATATTGGTTGAGTCCATCTTTCTGAAACACACTGTACTACAGACGATGTTGTCTATTAAAATACCTGTGTGGTAACTGTTGTTCAGGAAATATTCAAATTAAGTTTGTAATAAATGTTTTTAAGCTAGTCTCTGATTACAAGAATATTTATATTGTTTTTCTTTGCTTCAAGGTGAAGCTAGTTGTTTCCTCTAACAGGTAGTCACAAACTTTTAGAAAGTCTAGACGCATTTCCCCCTGTCATAATACTAACCAATTTAGCTGACCTTAAAATTTCCATCGTGATTACATTTCCGTGTGTGGTAATGTCTCAGGGAAGTGCCCCACGGTCACTTCTCAAGTCTTTGTATAGCACACTTAACATTCACTTAACACGTCCTTCATAACGCTGGAACCTGACTGCTCTCGAGACTGTTCCTTTCCATCTTCCAGGGCAGGCTATGAGAAGGACCTGCCTAGTGGGGGTTAGTAGGCAGAATTTCTTCATTCTTATTACATTAATGTGGAAACACACACCTGTGAAACACCTGGATATCTTAATATGAAGAGGTTTCGCCAAGCATTGCTTTCACCTTTGTACTGAACTGAGAAGTCAATGGTTGGCGAAACGTCTTCAAATAAAGATAACCAAGTTTTGCTTAAATCCCACTTTTGTTCTTATGATACATCAGTTCAGGTTACCATACGAAACATGTTCCCCCCCCCCCACACACACCTCTTATCTCACTGATGGATAATTAATACTTCTCAATACTACATCTAGTAGGCACGGACCGGCTATTCGCAATAAATAAAGATTGATATTTACAATGTGTGTTTACTGAACACGACATTATACTGAGTGGTCGTCTTCCGTGCACTCTGCATGTTTATATAACGAAGATATTGTTTGCCTTGTATCAGTGTTTCAGGAATTTTATACTCACTTTTTTAAAGCATCTTTCTTACTATTCTCGTTGATATCGGTAAATAGTTCAGAGAACCGACAAGTTTATGAAATATAAACATGTGCAACACTTGGATATCTTTACTGAGGAAACTTTTCTGCCCACAGTGGCTTTATCTGTCCCATACAAATGAGAAATGAGGAAATTAGTCCCCTCACCTGTCTGCAGTATACACTGCAGACAGGTGAGGTGTCAAGCAGTATACACTGCTTGACAGAACTTATACGTGCAGTAAAGGATCTCTGTACACTCTCTAGATCTGCGATTTCACTTGCTTTGAATGGAGATGTTAGTGTACAGCAATATTCCAGCCTAGAGAGAACAAGTGATTTGAAAAGGATCATCATGGGCTTGGCCTCTCTCGTTTTGAAAGTTCTCATTATCCATCCTATCATTTTCTTTGCACGTGCGATCGTGGCACTGTTGTGATCCTTGAAAGTGAGATCCTCAGACATTACTACTCCCAGGTCCCTTACATTATTTTTCCGCTCTATTGTATGGCCAGAGTCAGTAGTATACTCTGTTCTAGTTATTATCTCCTCCAGTTTTCCATAACGGAGTAGTTGGAATTTGTCCTCATTGAACATCATATTGTTTACCGTTGCCCACTGGAAAACTTTGTTTATATCTTCTTGGAGGTTAACCGCGTCCTCAGCAGATGACAGCCTCATGCAGATCCTAGTATCATCCGCAAAGGATGATACGGTGCTGTGATTATCTCTCTGTCTGATATGAGAATGAGGAATAAGATGGGGGCGAGTACTGTGCCTTGTGGAACAGAGCTCTTCACTATGGCAGCCTCCGATTTAACTCTGTTGACCACTACTCTTTGTGTTCGATTTGTTAGGAAGCTGAAGATCCATCTCCCCACTTTCCCAGTTATTCCTTTAGCACGTATTTTATGGGCTATTACGCCATGATCGCATTTGTCAAATGCTTTTGCAAAGTCTGTGTATATTACATCTGTATTCTGATTTTCTTCCAGTGCATCCAAGGCCATATCATAGTGATCCAGTAGTTGTGAGAGGCAGGAGCGACCTGCCCTGAACCCATGTTGCCCTGGATTGTGCAGATTTTGGGAATCCAGGTGAATTGCAATCCTGCTTCTTAGCAATCTTTCAAAGATTTTTATGTGGGACGTCAGAGCTATTTGTCTATAGTTATTAGCTAATGTTTTACTGCCACCTTTATGGAGTGGGGCTATATCCGTTGTTTTAAGTGACTGGAATTTCACCCATGTCCAAGCTGCTCCTCCATAGTGTACTTAGGGCACGCGAGAGGGGTTTCTTGCAGTTCTTAATGAAAACAGAGTTCCACGAGTCTGGGCCCGGGGCTGAGTGCATGGGCATGTTGTCAATGGCTTTTTCGAAATCTATCGGAGTTAGGATAATGTCGGAAATCTGGCATACATTTATGGAGTTTTGAGGCTCATTCATGAAGAAATCATTTGGGTCGTCGATCCTCAGACTGATTAGTGGTTCACTAAACACAGTAGTACTGGGATTTCAATATTTCATTCATTTCCTTGTTGTCATCTGTGTAAGTCCCATCCTGTCTGAGTAAGGGCCAGATACTAGATGTGGTATTTGCCTTGTTTTTGGCATATGAAAAGAAATATTTTGAATTTCTTTCAATTTCACTAATAGCTTTAAGCTCCTCCTGTCTCTCCTGGTTCCTGTAAGAGTCATTTAACTTAAGTTCGATAGTTTCCACTTCCCTGGTCAGCGCCTCCTTTCGTGTATCAGATATTCTAGCACTCCTGAGGAGCTCAGTGACTCTTCGTCGTCTTCTGTAGAGGGAGCATCTCTCTCTCTCCAGTTTACTCCTGCTCCTCTTCTTTCTTAGGGGAATATGCCTAGAACATGCTTCAGCTACCAGGAAGTTGATCCTTTCAAGGCACTGGTTTGAATAGTCTGGAACCCCGGATGTTGATACAGTGTTCCCTTGTTGTCCCCACCGCACCCCTGCTCCTCACTGGGTTTATTTTACACTTCCTCTCATATCTCTCACTCCAGTATGTTATGGCAGTGTAGATCGA